GCAGGCTTTTGTGAATATATGTTTTCATTTCTCTGGGATAAATGCCCAGGAGTACAATTGCTGGGTTACATGGTAACTACATGTTTAATTTTATGAGAAACTGCCAACTGTGTTCCAAAGAGGCTCAGCTTACTTAGCACTTTACATTCCCACCTGCAATGTGTGAGTGGTCCAGCTTCTCCGTATCCTCACCTGCGTTTGGTATGGTTGCTGTTTTTTTTAGTTAAAGGTAGAATTTCAAAAGCACTGGTAGAGATTGTTATTGAAAGGAAACTTGCAGTGAATTGCTGTAAGACTTTCTCAATAGCAGAGAACCAGGTAAGATCCAGGGACATGTGTCTTTGTCAGAAACGTCGTGGATACATAAATACTAGAGGAGGACATGCATTCCAGGATGAGAAAGAAGGCTGCAACATCAAATGTTCCAGAAAGGATGTCAGAATATCTAATGACAAATTGGGAGCTGGGGGGTGTTGCAGGAGGGGAAGGTGAAGGGGCCAGGAGCCCACCTGGGTTCAAGTAGAGCAGAGGCAAGCAGAGGTTATCATTTACTCATGATTCATTTAGTCAACGAATATTTATGAGCAGCCTGCTATAAACCAGGCACTCTGTAAGACACAGGGGACATGGTGATATACCATGGTGACCAAGGTATATAAGGCCCCTGACAGAATAGCCAGCATTTATTTAGTAGCTACTGTGTGTCAGATGTTGTCCCGAGCACCTTATGATACCTTCTAAACCTCCCATGGAGACAGATACGATTTTAAGCTTTATGTTACAAATGAGGAAACAGGCTCAGAGAGGGTAAGTAACTTGCCTGAGGTCACAGAGCTTTTGTGTCTGAAAACCCAAATCCATATATGTCTGACCACTTTGTGGTTGGTGGAACTTGCTACAGGGCAGTAAACCTAAGGGCGTGGGACAGGAACGCACGGGACCGCAACCGCAGAAACACAGTAGGGCAGCAGGCAGCTGTCTGGAGCAAGAACAAGGGGCTCTGATTTCCTGGGACCCTTACACTCTTATAACCACGGCCACCTCCCTCTTCCTGTTTACTTCCTAATCTCTTAAAGCTGGCATCTTAAAGCTCTTCAGAGGAGGACAGAAAATCTTCCATTTCATCTTCAGAAATTAATAGCATCTCTAGTATAATTGGCATCCCTGCTTCTTTGTATCACTTATTTTCAGGAGAGACAACTGGTCCCTTTTGTGCAATAAGCTGTTCTATACCCTGTTGTCAGGGGGCCCTGGGCTCCCTCCCTAAATCTGTCATCTGGCACATTTTTTACCTTCTCTGTCCTTCGAATAGGGGATCCCTTCCATCTGTTTGTTACTATCTGCCTATCACGGGCGCTGAGGCACTGTCCCGGAGCCCCTGACGTTGAACTCTGCGGTCAGGAGGCTTCTGAAAAACTGCCTGATGTTTCTCACCGAGCCTATGGGGATCCGGGAAAAGTCCTCGTTCTTGCTGTTGGCTTGACTCTTCCAGCAGCGCTGGAAATGACTGCGGCCTAGATGCCTGGGGCCTGGCCAGCCGTTAGGATCAGGCACTAATCTCTGGGTGAGGTGCATAAGGACCGATATCACTGAATTTCAGCTTCCTTTCCCCCCCCCCATATTTAGTTTCCATAACTAGGACTTTTTGGAGGAGGTTGTCCTGCTTTCCGGGAATCTGACTTATATAATGGCAGCTCCTCTGCATGGAGCTGGAAATCTTTGCTTTCATCCTGAACTATATTTAGAGATTTAACGTGAAAGTCTTCAGCTCTGTTCATGCTTTGCGAAGCGTGATCCAGCATCCTCATGTATTAATTTGCTAAAACAGAGACGTTTATATTTAGAGCCTAGACCACATGGCATGGGAGGCACTTGAATTCTCTGGTGCGTTTTTGCACCTGCCGTGTCCTGATGACATGTTCTTGGGCCACCGGTACTCCCTAGGTGAGGTCACACCGCTAGGCCAACACTTTAGAGAGGAGAGGCCATGCTGAGCTGTGACACTGCCCCTTAGCCCTGCCCGAGGAGTCCTGCTGCTTGGGCCCAGGTCTTCCTTTCTGCTCCAGGGGGAGAAGAAAACATCTTATTTAAAAGTCTTTAAAAAATTAGTAATCACTTATGCCGAACACCCTTTCCCCGGGCTCTCGCTAACAACCTGAGAAGAATTCATACTAATAATAAGAGCAATAGTAACAGCTAACATAGTTTTCAATGATAGACATTGTGCTTAGAGTTACCTGCTCTTTCTAATTTATTCTTCATAACTCTGGTAAGTGGGCAGTACTGCCGACCACGTTTTACACGTGAGGGAACGCGTGCCAGGAGAGGTGGAGAACCCACATCTGATGGAAGCACGGGCCCTTTAGGGCTATAGCACACCGCCTCCCGTGTACAGAAAACTTGATCAAGGCTTTGTCCTCCCCTATGAAAGTGCCGCAGAATGGCTAACAGGTTTCCCAGGGATTCCAGCGTCATCTGGAAGAGCAGTATTTTTCAAAACACTGTCTGTGGACCGCCTGCACCAGGATTTCCCTGGCTGCTTGTACAAATCGCAGACATGCTGAATCACAACCTCTGGGAACAGGGCCAGGGGATCTGCATTTTTAGAACGCTCCCCCAGGGACTCGGGTGGACTCTAAGGTCTGATCACTGCTAGCGGGTGTTTTCATTGGCACACTGACCACAGTTTATGGGTCGGCCTGAAACCAACCAAAGGGACGCCTGAGGCTGTAGGGCGGTGCAGGGCAAACTTTTTCTCCCAAGGGCCAGATAGTAAGTAGTTTGGGCTTTGTGGGCCATGTGGGTCACTGTTGCAGATACTCAAGTCTGTCATTGTAACCGCACAGCAGCCACAGAGGACCTGTAGCCAAAGGGCGTAGCTGCGTTTTCATAAAACTTTGTTTTCAGAAGCTGGCCGTGGGGGCCATAGCTTGCTGACCCTTGATAGAGTCACCCTGGCCCACCAGCCCCCTGTGTGGGAGTTATTCTTACACTACTTTCTGTTACTATGGAGAGCTGTATCAATTAAGATGAAATCGCCTGTTGTACTAGATAAACCCTGAATCTTAATGACATAAAACAATAAGTTATTTCTCACTTATCTCACAGCCTAATTGAGGGTGCCCCTGCTTGGGATTTTCTATGTGGTCATGTAGGGACCAAGCCCCCCCC